AGCACCACTGACGGAGGAGTAGAAAAATGAACGGATAGCCATGGGATAGGCCCCCCTCATTAACAAGAACACTTCATGATAGAGGACTGTCTGGAGCCAAAATCAAAATAACATTAATGTTCAGGTCATATAAATGCAATAGATAAACTTATACATGTTAATATATCTTACAAGCCTAAAGATTCTCAGTGTTTCAATTGCTTGCTTTATAAATGAGAAATTAACTTTATAAGCTAGATTAACAAGATACCTTGAAAGATGACCATCTGTTTCATGCCTTTTAATTTTTTCACAAATTGATTCAAATAACCCTTGTTAACAGAGTTGCTGAATATTTACCAATTACCAAAACAGCTAAGATTAAAGCTTTTGGAAAAAATCTATATCAAACTTAATGTTTAAAGAAGCTTGGCTGTATATCTATGACAGGAAATATTATTTTATATGATACAGATACAGATCCTTTGATATCTATGTCTGTATCCTTTGAAGAAAAATGATCTATTTTCTTTGTTAATATTCACAGGATGGAAAGCAGTTTTCATTGAGATGGGCAATGTAGTTGAGTTTCACAGATCCACTAGTGGATTAAGAGAACAGAGAAGATAGTCACTGAAATAATTTTTGTTTAAAGTAAAGGTTTATGACTATTCTCTTTTTCATTTCATTTTAAAGTATTGCTTCCAAGTACAGAATCACTGTACCTTGCTTTATGTCTAAACTAGTCAATGCTAGATTAAAAAGTAACACTTGTTTACTTGCCCCCAATTCTTTTCTTCTTAAGTAACTTTGGAAGTCTATTATTAGTAGGGATAATGAGAATAAAAAGAAGTTACCAGAAATGTATTATCCATCTCAGTAAGCAAAATATAATACAATATCTGTATATGTATATATAATATATGCATATATATCACCTTGGTTTCATTTTTTCAGAGGAAAGATTATCTAAAAGTTACAATATACTGTCGTGATGACCAGTTTTATACGTTTAGACTGATAGAACAAAGTGGTAAATCTGATTTTGCAAAGCATTTATTTTTTTTGTTTTGTTTTGTTTTTTTTTTGGTTTTTCTCCGGTACCGGGAACCGAACTCACGACTTTGCGCTTGCCAGGCAGGCGCTTTTGCCGCTGAGCTAAATCCCCAGCCCCCGCAAAGCATTTATTTGTATTAGTACCTGTTTGCAGTACATAAAAATTACATCTGTTGTGGGGAGTTGGCACAGGTATATAATGCAACTTAAGTTTTCTACATCCTCCTCTTCCTTTTCCCCTCCCCCTTCCTTCCATCTTTTGGTCCCATTTCCCTTTGCAAAGATCTGATTTGTTACTAGTTTAGTTGCCAGAACAACTTTTATGATCTCTCGCGTCTGTTTCTCATCTTCAAAAGAGAACAGCATTCATGGCTTAGGGTTACTGGAAGGTCATATGGACTAATACATAAAATGACTTGGCATAGTATTTGGCACATCATAAGGGCTTAATAATAATCGTTCTTTTATTTATTATTTGTCAACAGTTAATAAATTCATCTCTAGGAAAGCTAGTTTTAAAAAAGTTGTTAGTTATAACTAATTTAAATTAAACTAGGGTACAAAGTGTTCATAGCTTGGTGGAATCCACAAGGTAAAACATGTCCATTTCTTTCCCACCAAATCGCAGCACTGGTTGCTTTTGTGAAGAGAATCATGCGTCATTATGAAGACAATGTAGCAGGCCATCCATCTTTGAGGCAGAGTTCATGCATCCACTCTAAATGTCCAATTCCAAGGTTTGCTATACTCATCATTTAAACAAGATTAGAATGTAAGGGCTGTAAAATATGATTTGGGATATAATTTTTTCTAAAAATGGTGATATTTTTATTTTCTAAGGTAACAATTTGATGTTTTAATTTTGGTTGTGTTAGCCCTCCATTTGGATAAAGATATCTTAAAGTATTCAAGTGGAATGACTCTTAAAAATTACAAAGAAATAAAAACATGCATTAGAAGTGGCAAATATCATTGGCACATGCAAGGATCTTGGTAGGTAAACAGACAGGGGTGGGAGATCTTATGCAGAAGTCAGTTAACTTTGTGAAGCTCAAGGGTCACAGGGATGAACATAGCACAGTAGTTTTAATCCTCCAAGAGGTCCAGAGTCACAAACATGAAGATTTTTCCCTAGGACCAATTAAGTAATAACATATTAATGTATTTCATTTTTCTTAAAGATAAAGGCTTGACTTTCACCCTTTAAGGCAGTGATTTAAACAAAGACAGACTGAGGGATGCATTCTCCGTCTTTATGGCTACAAAACTCCCCACACCTGCTGACCACCCTGACATTCTTCTGGTCTCCAAGATGGTCCTTTACCCCAGAGAATGCTGAAGAACAAGATAAATAGGGCAACAAAGAACCAATCTAGGAGGGAGGGTTTACAAGTTGCCCTTCTGAGATCCTCAGAACAGCATCATTAGCAGTTCTAATTACTTTTTTTCAAGCAATTCATTCATTTTCTTATCTCAAGCATTGCCATTAATTTCAGGCCCAAATCCTTACAATTCTCCCAATGTTTTCATCCAGTTTACTTCCCATTTACTGAGATTTAAAAAAATCTTTAAAATAAAAAAATTTTAAAAAATTATTTTGATATTTAAAATACTTGTGTCTAGAAAATGTTTATACATTTATGTGTTCTTTTGTACCTCCTAGGAATAATTAGTGATTATTCTTTAAAAATAAAAAACTTCAATAAAATGTAAGGAAGGCAGCAAGGGTATTAAATGTACACATTGATCATACATAGTATCATAATATGGTGCACAGATTTACTATTACCTAAAATAATTTAATGTAGAACCAGCTAGAAGCAAGTTTACCCTTCTAGGTTCCACTACCTGCATTTTGATATTTTATTATCAAAAGTAATTTCTGATCCCGACTTTTCACGTTATTTATTGTCTTTTCCTGAGAAAATCCACTAGATTTTATAATTCCTTTTTTTTGCATGTGGTGCTGCAGATGGACCCAGGGTGTTGAGCCTACTAGGCAAGTTCTCTGCCAATGTGCTATAGTCTGATTCCTTGATTTCACAACTTCATACTGTATGAACAAGACCAATTTTTTTCATTTTAAAGATCAAAGAATGAAAACAATAATAAACACACATACATTTGCAAGATAACACAAAAACAGTACAAGCAATACTGAATTTCAGACAAGGTGACAGGAAATTAACAATGGTTGCTGCATTACATATTGATATCTTCAAATTGGTCACTCAGATAAACAAATATGGACATGCAAGATTGATCAAACAATTAAACATTAACTGTTCCTTTCAATAAAGCAATAGAAGTCAGTAGTACAACTATGTTAGCTATCCTATGTATGCATATATACATAATTTTCCCCTTCTTTCTCTTCTCTTTTCCCTCATCCCAGTTGTTTTTCACTTCTGGGTATTTTCCCAGAAGAACTGAAAACATATCACAGCGATATACTTGCAGCCATGTTTATAGCAGCACGGTGTGTAAAAGCTAAATCATTGAAGCAACCCAAACGCCCATCCACTGAGGAATGGACAAAAAAGTTGTGCTATTTTTATATAATGGAATATTACTCAGCTATAATGAAAGGAAACTGCTTAACAAGACTAATCTAATATACCGAAGAGCCTTCCAAGTGTTGTTGGCATCCTCTTGCTGTTGTGTGGAATTCTCTTTGTATTTACAGATTGAGGCATTTCTAACTGTACCCATATCTGTGATGAATGAGATGACTTTCTGTGTACTCCCACAGGATCACAGATGTTCGCAGACTCAGTGTTCACACGTTCCCACCTACCCACTCTCAGCCAAGCCTGGGCAATCAACTTGGACACTGCTACTGTCCTTTACAGTCTTACTTTGTGGAAGGGGTGGTAGAAGACAGGTAAGCCCTGAGAAATCAGAAGTCCCTTGAAGCATAGATGAATCAGAGCATTTTCAGCTGTTGAGATCTAGGTTCGTGTGTGTGTGTGTGTGTGTGTTTGTGTGTGTGTGTGTGTGTGTGTGTGTTTATTAATACTGGGGAATCTTCAAAAGTACCAAGGCTGTTTGCCTCTATTCCAATATAAAACTTCTACTAATATAAGTAACACTGAATAAAAACAGTTGGTACAATATCTTTTAATATTTTCAATAGATCTCTCGCAATTTGCAGAGTTTCATCCATAATTGCAACCCTTGGGAGAAGAGGGAGGAGCGCTAGCACGTCCAGGAGTATTTGATGGGCGGGCAGGAGAGTAATACAAAGGCCAAAGGGGGCTTCATTTGGTGCCCTTTGCCCCTGGGAAGCGAGCTTTTCCGGGTCGGTCAGGTCCTGGATCATCGCAGCCCCCGGCTGCCTAAGGTTTCGCCTCTGATTCCTTTGCGCATAAACAACACCTGCCTTTCCTCATCGCTTCAGCTGCTCCTCACCGAGGCGGGCGGGCACTGGCCAGGTGTCCTGAACTTTCTCGCTGAGATTGGGGCTTGGGGGTTCCAAGGGTTCTAGTCAGCGTGTCTGGAGCACAGGTGTTCATCCGTGGTGTGGCTCCTGAGAAGCCAAAAAAAAAAAAAAAAAGAAAAAGAAAAAAGAAAAAACTTTCTCCTTCTCCTTGCTTCTGCCAACCGTCCAAGTGCTGATTTTGGCATCTCTACATCAGCGAACGCGCTTGGTGCCTGGTTCCATCCCCACCGCGTCCCCGGAGCCCCCACACACTCTCCGAGCCACTTTTGCGTGGATCCCTCCTCTGTTCCGTCCCGTCCCGGGCTGGGGCTGACCCGGCCGGGTGTCGGGTTCGGGGAACTCCCGGAGGCTCCGCGGCCGCCTCCGCCCTCTCCGCGCGCCCCGCGCGGGCGCTGGATTATTCCAGTTTTTGAGCATGGCAGATTTCCACTGGATGACATCATGGGCGCCGAGTGAGTGCCGGCTCGGAGAGGGGGACGGAGGAGGGAGGGGAGCGGCGGAGGGAGAGCGCCGGGGAGCGGAGCCAGAGCCGCTGCCTGCCGCCCGGCTGCGCGTCCGCCGGCTGGGAGGCGCGCAGTGACAAAGGAAGGGAGGAGGCCGCGCCCGGGGTGCCCGCCGCGCGCAGGCCGGGGGGGTCTGAGCCGCTGCACCCCGCGCGGTGAGTGACAGCCGCGCTCGTCCAGCCAGACCCGCCGTGGGCGCGCGCTCCGGCCGCGGTCCCGGGAGCCTCGTCCCTGACCGAGCGCGGGACTTGGCACCGCGGTAGCGCGAAGCGCAGGCAGCAGGTGCCTCGGCTCGGCTCGGCTAGGAGCAGCGCGTCCGAGCTTGCGCTCCTGGCTGGGGTTCTCGCCGGGTGCTGGGACCCAGCTCGCCGGGCGGGAGACGCTGCGCTCCCGGGGGCTTCTCCAGCAGGCTGCCCGGGGCAGTTTTCCCTTTGGAGCCAGCGCCAGCCCTGCGCTCTCGCTGCTTCTGGTAGATTCCGAGCGCGCGGAGCGCTGTTGGCACCAGCGTCGCACCAGTCACCCAGCCGCACCCCTCCAAAAGCGCGGAGCCCGCGACAGTCACTTGGGCGGCTCAGGCGCTCCCAGTGTGGGCTAGAGCGAGCGATCGCCGTTCATCCAGGAGGGCGCGCACCTCGCAGGACTGGGAGCCGCCTTTGTCTCTGGTTTAACGCGGATGCGCTGGAGCCTGTGCCAGGCTCCTGGCAACTGTTGGGTCCAACCTCGGCTCCCTGCCCTCGCCCGGCTCGGGGAGAGATGCCCTTGTGTTCCTGCGGCAGGTGGGATTGAGAACTGGGACTGGAGACGCCAGAAGGGTCCTGCGCTCTCGGGTGAGTGTCTGTCTAGTCATTCAGGTGTAGAGCTACCTTCTGGGGCTCCTGGGAGCGGAGTGGTTGAGAGATGCCCAAGTTCTACCCCTGAGCGGTGCGAGGCAAAGAGCAAACTTTGGTTTCTTCGTTATTTTTCTCTCTTCGGGTTTCTGAAACGTTTGTCTTGGGGATTTTTGCGGCAGGTGGATGGAGTCAGAGGCAGGTTCAGTATGCGGTTAAGACAGCTGCTCCACGTTTTCCTGGCAATTCCTTTTGTTACTCAGGTCTGGAAGAGGTTTGCTTGATAAACATGTTTGAGATCGGCATCTTTTCTACTGTACAGCCTTGTGGGTTTAAAGTCTTTCAGAACCGGCTTGCACACCTTAGTTGAGAGTTGTACCGCACATAGATGTCAACATGCCAGTACCCACGCCTACTGGCTTTCTGCCGGTTGATACACGTTTCATAGATGGACCCCTGCTTCATGAAAAGAGTCCAATTTTTGTATCATAAGGAAGTGGCGATATCTGTTGGAGCGTTTGTGTTTAATCTCACCCCCCACACACACTCACCGAAAAGTCACTTTGTGAAAAAGATGGAAACAAGTGAAAATTTGCTACTTTGGGGTTTAGCTGCTTTTCTTTTTTGCTTTTATCCACTGCAATTTGAGATCTTTAAACATTTAAAGCTATTTCATATTTATGAATTTTACTTATAATAAATAATCCCCAACGTTAAAGAGATTCCTCTTGGACAGTTATCATATTCCAGCATCTACCATAATGGTCAGATAGAAGAAAGTCAGGACAATAGAACAATTATAATTCACTTATTTATTTTTTCTTTGAGATAAAGCTTATTTTTTCTATAAATTGTTTCTTTTTCTTTAAAGAATGATGATTCTATGAAGCTGTTCTAAGAGAGTCAAGCCACAGTTTCTTGGTCAGTGATTGCTCTCCTGATAAAGTTTGAGGTCCTTTCAGAATACAGATGGTGGAAAGTTGCTGGAGTAATGGCTGTGGTAGAAGTAAAGAGGGATCTGCACGAGGTCATGGGGGAGAGTGTAGTAACAGGAGTGGTGGGACTAAGAAGGGTGTCGGAGGTGTTACATCCGTTCTGATTTTGGAAGAGCTCATTGTGGCTTTTACATCTTTGCCTCTCCTGGGAAGTGCGTAATGAAATGTTTGACTACGGTACATGGTGTTGACAGATCAATAACAGCACCAAGGAGAGCTTATTTTTTTCCCAAGCCTTGCCGCTCTAGAAGCAACATTTTCTTCTGTGATTCAGACGTAATCTTTATCTCATTATCCGATTCATGACTTCTTGTCACGGAAGTCCCCACCTGCTTCTTCTAAAGTTTTCTTTTCACCTTTTTTGTATGTGATTGTTTATGGCAAAGCATACAGGATGTCACATAAAAGTTCTTAGAGAACCTGTTGCCTTGTCCACGGCTTTCCTTCTATCAAGTGGTAGCAAAAGCTCTCTTTCAAACCAGCCCAGTGATGTGCTGATGTGTTGATATACCCAATGAGGAAAGACATATTATAAACATACATATAATTCTTGTCAGCCAGGAGGTGTGGTGGCATTTGACTCATGGATTTTGGCAAGTGATATTATGTTTAGAAACAAGATTTATTTTACCCATTTCACATAATAATAAAAATGTACACTGTACATATACTTTAGATCTAAAATACTTAATTTTATTCTGAAATATTTTAACAAAGAAGGTCAAAGGTGCTTTGGTATTTTACCTCACATGCAATAGAGTGTGTCAGAAAAGTCCCCACAATGTGCAAGCATCTTATAAATATGAGTTGATAGATTTGATAAGCAGTACAATATTATTTTTAAGAAAGACATAGAGTAAAATAATGTCCTGGAACTGGAGATTACTCTCAGTGTTTTAAAATGCTCTTTGCAAATACTTTGGCTATTTTGTTACACATGAACTCTTCATTAGGGAGAAGTCCTAGTTAAAGAGGAAATTGCATGATAAAACAAAACCAAAGCCACAGCACTCCACAGCTGGACTAGGTGAGAGTGAATTTTGAGGGTCATGGAAAAGGGAATCATTTCAGTATGATGTTTTTTTCCAAGAAAAGATTATGTATATGGAGTAAGTTCATACTATTTGATGATCTCTTTCTTTGCTTGTTCCAGCTGGTTGATTGAATGCACACTTTAGCAACTCCATCATATGAAATTTCCCCACTTCCCTTTAGGCAAAATTCTATCTTGAAGTGAACCAGAAGTTTATCTTGTGGCCTTTCTAAGAATAGGAGGCCTATGGATCTCAAAACATTATGCTTTTAACGTGTGTGTAGGTTTTAGTAGGGAAATTGGTCAGTAAAACCTAGCCTGAAAAGCTTTGGCATCTTACCTTCTTCTAGAATTACAAGCTAAGAGTGAAAGCCAATAGTTATAAGATGTTAAAAATACTGAGAAATGTTATGATGCCTTATTTAGAAGGTAAATATAACATTAGTTGAGCTTTGACAAATGAAAGAAAATTGAGACAAATTCTTTAGATGCTACCGCAATTATCCCTTTGCTATTTATTTGATATATTTTGCAATGTAACATTATTATTTTTCAACTTTGTAGTACCCAAATGATGAACAATAGATAGAAATTATACGTTCTAGTTTAGACTTTGTTGTCTTATCAAGGACAAGTCTCTGAGTCTCTTAGAGCATGATTTTCATTGTACGTAAAATATAGGTGGAAATATCTGACTAGTTTTTCAACTGGGGGAGAGAGTAGCACCCAGCAAATGAGCTAATACACAAAAGTGACTGGGAAAACTTAGGAAGAACTATATGGCAAGTATCATGAATTACTAAATGTAATAGCTTCTTAATTTCTAATTAGCTCTGTTAAAGAAGTAAGTATATCAAGGTGAATCTAGCATTTGATATTTTAATTTTAATCATTTATATTTTAAGTTTGTGGTATCCTTTAAAACTCATTTATTATAATTATAAAATGATGAAGTTGTTTATAATATCTTTTTAACGAAAAGTGTGCTCACAAAAATTTTTTAGGGTGGCTGAAAATTTTTCATATAGCTATAATTTTTAAGGAACACTTAAAGTAGGTATACAATTGTTCTTTGGTACGTTTTTCTTTTTTATTCTTTTGACTCCTGGCTGTCATTGCACCTCTCAATTTGCTGTTTCTTTGAAGGTGATATCTCTTCATCTTTGGCCAGTTTGAAGGTTTTTCATTTCTCTTCTTTTTCTCAGTTCTATTATGATGTTGTTTGGTGCTGCTTTTGTTATATTTTTTCTTCTTAAATTCAGAGCTTCTTGAATTTGTGGACAGATGTCTTTCATCAGGGGAAATTCATTAAATTTTTAACTGGTATCTTCCTGTATATCCTTCTGTCCCTTTTCGTGGGATCTCAGTTTGTGTTTAACAGATGATTTTATTGTACCCAACATGCCTGTTACACACTCAGTTTGGTCTTTTCTACCATTATTTTAACCTCTCTGTGATTGTTTGAATATTTTCATTTGATTTTTCTCTTCAATTTACTAGTCACCTTTTACATTATGTCTATTATGCTGTCAAGGTCATCCATGGGTTATTACTAAAATTACTATATATTTTTTCAGGCCCCTGAGTGAGAGACGTGGTCCCCAAGCTTGGTTCTGTTGGAAGGTGGTGGTACCACTAAAAAGAGGGGATTAGTGGAAAGTTTTCAGTCATAGGGGCATGCCCTGGATGGGAACAGTGGAATACTACACCTTTCCTTTTCCTTTAATTATATATTTTTTCAGGTTTTAGAAATGCATTTTTATTCTTCTCTATAGATTCCAACTTATCTATCTTCCCTATCTTACCCTTTACTACTCTGAATCTATTAAACAAAATTTTTCTTGTTACTGCTGGGTATTGAACACAGGTTGTCCCACATGCTATGTAAGCACTCTACTGCTGAACTAGACTCCAACCCTTTTAATCCGAAGTATTTCAGAATTTTTCTCTGCTATTGCCAGAAACTATATTTTTGTGTTCTTTTCATCGTCTCCCTTTACTCTTGATTTCAGTAGCGTTGTGTGAAAATTATAGAAGCTCTAGATGACTTATCCACCTCCCAATGGGTGTGAACGTTTCCTTAGGAAAATACAATGGGGAACTAGCTGGCCAATCACTGCTTTCCATCAATGACTGAGCAATGTCAAGTGTTGTCAGATTTCATTTCCCTTCTGGGGAAGGTATCCAATGCCTGCCACTAGGATATTCACAGATTACAAATCAAAGTTAGTGCCATGATACAGGCATGATTTTACATCCCCCCTTTTATTGCTTGTTAAGTGAATCTTGGCTACTCATATCTCTAACTATCTTGCCATACCCGCCTCTCTCAGGACTACAAAATATCCTGTGGTAGATTCTTTATGTCTTGGGAGTGGTCCTCCTCTCAACAAAGCCCATATTATCAGACTTTTGGTGTGTTTCCAGATTGCCAAGGACCTCTTATATCTGTCCTGGGGGGAGAAAAGCACCCTTATGAGTTAGCTTACTTCTTCCTGTTACATTTCTTCCACCTGAAATATTGAATCCCCAATTCATGACTTCCTTGGAAGCTTCTGGCTATTTTGAGTGACCCCCCCCCCAAGGTCTATGAGTTAGAGACTTGGTCCCCAAGTTTGGTGCTGTTGGAAGGTGGTGTTACCCCACTAAAAAGAGGGGTCTAGTGGAACATCTTCAGTCACAAAGGCATGCCCTGGAGGGGAGCAATGGAATACTACACCTTTCCCTTCCCTATCCTTTGATTCTCAGCTGTAAAGAATACGATTTTGCTATACCACACACTCCCACCATGATGGTGGAGGCCTCAAAGCAATGTGTCCACCCACCCATGGACTGGAATTTCCAATACCAAGAGTCAAAAGAAACCTCTTCTTATCATAAAGTGAGTTTCTCAGGTATTTGTTAAAGTAATGGAACTTGAGTTACAAATTTTCCAAAAATCTTTATCTGATTTTTTTTTCTTACAGTTGGCT